TGAGTTACAGAACTGACATTACGCAGGGGCTTGATGCTTTTTGGAAGGTGTGGAGCACAGAGCAGCTGTGGCTCTGCCAGTGCCATCTGTAGACTCCTTTGCTGGTGCTTTGAATTCCCCAGGCCGGTGCCGGGCGTGTTCTGTTGCTGGTTTGGAATGCCCGTGTGTCTGGACTGACCCTGCCTTCCTTCTCTCCCCAAGAAATATGAGCCCTCAGACCCTGCCTACGCCTATGCCCAGCTGACACACGATGAGCTGATCCAGCTGGTGCTGAAGCAGAAGGATATGATCACCAGGAAGGACGTCCAGGTGCGGGAGCTCGAGGACTACATCGACAACCTGCTCGTCAGGGTCATGGAAGAAACCCCCAACATCCTCCGTGTTTCCATGTCTGGGAACAAAAAAGCTGGGAAGATGTGAAGGGTCTGGGCATGCTGGAGAAGAAGGGCCGAGTTCCCACCGGAGGAGTGTGAGGAGCCGGTGTGGAGCTGGTGGTGCCGGTTGTGCCGCCCCTGGAAAATGACCTTTTTCCTGTTTCTGCCTTGAGCAACTCTCAGGTTGATTAGTAGTTCCATCAGCTCTTGTAATGGAGTCACCTTATCATATTTATTACTTGTTTTCTTCCCATTATCTGGGAAGATCAGGCATTAATCCAAAGGCTGGTAGTGATGGAAGGGAGGAGGGTTTTTGATGTGTTTTGCTTCCCAGCAAGGCACTGATGATCCTTTAGGAAGATTGGCTTTTTTAATGGTTTTGTTTTGTAGCAGCTCTGATAGATCAGTTACTCTTCTTTCCATATCTGAAGTTGTAGTGCAATATGGAGCCTTGTACAGTAGAGCTTGAAGATTTGATTGTTTTTAAAATAATAATTAACTACACTGGAGAAGTCCAAAGATGTCCCAGCTTCAGACCTGGGCTGTAATTTAAAAGGAATTAATGCCCTGAAAGTTGAACCTTAGTTAAAAGATTAGAAAGGAAGAAGCAAATCTCAGTTCAAGTGGATGTTGTTCCAAAGAGTTCTCCAAGGGAAGTTTTGCAGGTTTTTTGGTGTAGGAGACGTTGATGTTCACGGTACAGATCTATCATAGGAATGGCAGCAATGGATTTGGACCAAAGGTACCTTGCTGCTCAGAGGGGGAGGAATCCTGTGGAGCTGAGGGGTGGTGGTTTTGCTGGACAATCAGTGGAGACAGTGCTGTTCTCCTCCCCACCCCACAGCAGGAGCAGCTCAGTGCTGCTGAGCAGCCACCACAACCTCTTTCTCCTCCTCCTCTGAAAACTAAATGTGACTTTTTTTTTTTTTTTTTAAGCGAGCTCTTGTCAAAGATCAAAAAAAGAAAAGAAAGATCAGATACCTCTTTGGACCTCTGGGATTTACCAGGGCTGGGAGAGTCCCTAAAGGGCTTAGAAGGAAGTTGGAATACAGAGTGGGGAGCAGAGGACCAAAGCTTCATGAGGACCAAAGCTTAAAGCTTTCCAACCTTAATTCTGTGGAAGTAAACACTCCCACCTTTGGAAGTTGTTGGGTTATTGGCTCTCACCCCTGGCTCAGGGGTGAGTTTCTAACTCACTTTTTCTACAGCAAAGCACTTTACTGAGGAACTGGACCAGCTGGCTGGACTCTCACCCTGTGAGCAGTCTGCCTACAATTGTCAGAAACCACTGGAAACCACTGGAGATCTCAAATACTGTATTTTTGTAGCAAAGAGCAGTTTAATATATTTGCCTGGAGATGTAAACATTTATTAGGAAAATCAAAAAATGCTGTTAATGACTTTTTTATTCCTCTAAACTGACCTACTACCAAAGTCTGGAGCTTCTCTGGCAGAGCTGCCCCTTAGGGGGAGCTCGACCTGAAACAAGCCTTAAGTTCAAGAGTCTTCCAAGACTTCAGGTACTTCTTTTTCCTCATTTTACTGTTATTTGAGCAGTGTCTGCAGCGAAGGGGGTTCTCTCTGTTCTCTTGTACCCTCTACTGTGAATGAAGGGTCCCAAATGCAGGCGGGGGTGGTTTAATCCTGAGTGGTGCTGGTTGGCCTTGCTGAAACTGCTGCTGCTTCTTGTGCCTTCTCGAGGGAGGAAGATGAAGGATTGATTTGTTTCCTCCTTGTGCCTCGGTGGATCTCTGGAAAAGAGGATCCTGTACCTCACTGACAGATTTGGATTTTAGACTTTTATTCCTCAGCTTTTCTGATCTGGGTCACAAAGGAGAGCCGTTTGTGCCTTGGACCTTGTTTTTATTGACAACACTTCTTAAAACCTTCCTTTGGTGTGCGGGGACTGGCATTTTATTTCCTTTAAGGGCCTTAAGAATCAAATATATTGTTTTATTATTATTGAAGGATCTGAATGTATTCCCCCCCCCCGTTTGTACTCTCTGCTTTTTAGCCCAGGTACTGTTTTGTTTTTAAACACCTTTTTGGTTTTCATGGAACACTAAAAATAAAAAACACCTTAAACCCACCGTTCCGGGTACCTGTTCCCAGCTGTTGTCTTTAAGCATTCATTATAAACACATTATGAAAAGAGCAGATTCAGAAGGGCCTCATCCTCCCCTTGTGACCGGCTCTGCTCATCCTCCAGGTATTTCGGGGCAGGTTTTGTTCCATGCAGGAAGAAGCTCCTGGCAAACAGGGTGGGGAAACCTGATGGACGGGCTCGCCCGCACCTGCAGGGCCGAGAGTTCCTGCGGAGCAAAACCAAATGACCGCGTGAGAGGTGAGATGTCCCCGCTCCCCGGCGGCAACAACGGCCCCGGATTGCGGCGGGGCTGGAAGGAGCGGGAAATGAGGAAATCAGCCTCCCGCTGCCCGGGCGGCCGCTTAGAGCCTCAACCCGCAGCCCTGAGCGCTGTTATCGCCCCGAGCGTCCCGCGGGGAAGGCGCGGATGGTCCGTCCGAGCATCCCGGAGCCGCCGCCGCCTCCTCCTGCCCCGCGGGCGGCGGAACGCGCGGCGCCGGAACGCGGCGGCTCGGCCGGGCGGGCGGGGGGGGGACGGACCGCGGGCGGCGCCGCTATTGGTGGGTTGCGGCCGGGCCGCGCCGCCATTGGCTGTTGGCGGCGCTCCCCCTCCCCGCGGTCCCCCATGGCGGCCATGGCGGCGCGGGGCCGCTGCCCCGAGTGCGGCTCGGCCGCGCTGGTGGAGGACGCGCTGTACGCGCAGCAGCAGCTGGTCTGCGCCGCCTGCGGCTGCGTCCTGGCCGAGGGGCTGCTCACCACCACCTACAGCGACGAGGAGCATCTGCGGGGTGCGGAGCGCGCTGGGGCCCCGCTGACCCGCTCCCCGGGCTGTGTCTCGGTGTCTCCCTCCACCCCCGTCCCTCCCGGCGGTCTCCCGGTGTCCGCGGGGCCGTGCCGGGTTGCACCGGCCGCTCTCCCTCCTCCCTCCATCGCCCACAGCATTTCCCTGCCGGGTTTTGGGCTGGGAGCCGCTGATGAGCCGCTCCTGGGCGTTTAAATCTCTTATAAGGGATTTACGGTGTTGATTCCTTATTATTAATGAAAAAGGCTGGCGAAATCTCGTTTAAATGTCTTAGAAGAGCTTTAAGTGCAGTGGGCCCTGGGGCGATCCCACCCCTCTCTCACCTGAGCTGCTCTGTCCCTTCTGATCGTTGGAATCTAGCCCCTGGTTGCCCCAAATCCCAACGACACTGTCCCCCTGGGATCACTGCAGGGCTGTCTGACCTAACCCTCTTTTCCAGAGGTGGCCTATTCCCAGAGCACTGGGCAGAAGGAGCAGCTGAGCCGCTGCCTGCAGCGAGGTAAGAGCGTTTCTCCCCCACCCCGACCCTCCCTGGCTGCTGCTCCATTTTTTTTTTTGGTTTGTTTATAATGCTTAAAAAAAATGGTGAGACCCTTTGGAGCTGGTGGCAAAGCCTGGATGAGGCAGCTGGTGCTGCACCCAGCCAGCACTGAGGGATGGGGAGGTGCAGGAACCCGGCTGCTCTGGCACCTGTGCCCGGGCTGGGTGAGCTCTGCCTGCGCCGGAATCCTGAGGAGAAGCTGCCTGATCCCACCTCTGAGGGCAGCGTCTCCCCACAGGGATCCGGCGGGTCCAAGACCTGTGCAAAGTCCTGCAGCTCCCAGCGGTGTTCGAGGAGACAGCCGTGTCCTACTTCCAGAGGGCCCTCCAGCTCCCTGCCTTCCACCTGGTCAGCCTGGAGAAGAAGGAGCTGCTGGGGGGCTGCTGTGTGTTCGTGACGTGCCGCCAGCACAACTGGCCTCTGACCATGGGCACCATCTGCTCCCTCCTCTACGCCAAGCAGGAGCTGTTTGCTGGCGTCTTCCTGAGCCTGCAGAAGGAGCTGGGGCTCTCTGTGCCCGCCCTGAGCCTGGCAGACCTGGTGAAGACACACCTGAGCAGGTAATGGGGCCCCTTCCAGGGGGCACAGATGGGGTGAGCTGTGTGACAGGGGTGTGGCTTTTGTGCCTCCCTTGTCACGCCTGGGCTGAGATTTTCTCATCTCCTCAGTTTGGAGAGGGCAGGGAGGTGCTCAGGGGGGTACCATGAGTTCCAGAATCATGGAATCATTGAGGTTGGAAAAGATCTCCAGAGTCATAGAGCCCACCCTGTGCCCCATCCCCACCTTGTCCCCCAGCCCAGAGCACTGACTGCCACGTCCAGTCCTTCCTTGGACACCTCCAGGGATGGGGACTCCACCACCTCCCTGGGCAGGCCATTCCAATGTTTTAACAACTCTTCCCATGAAGAAATCCCTCCTGGTGCCCACGAGCAGCAGCCCCTGGCAGGGGCAGGGTGTGTTTGTCCCAGAGGGCCTCCCTGCAGCCACATCTCCCAGGTGACTGAGGCTTCCCTGCTCCCGCAGCTTCCGGCTGTTGCAGCCCTCGGCCGACGTCCCTGCCCCGTTCCTGGAGGACAAGGAGAAGCTGGTGGCCCGGACCATGGGTATTGTGGAGCTGGCCAGCGAGACGTGGCTGGTGACGGGCCGGCACCCCGTGCCCGTGGTCACGGCCGCGGCGTTCCTGGCGTGGCAGTCGCTGCAGCCCCGCGCCCGCCTCTCCTGCCCCCTGGCAAGGTTCTGCAGGGTGGCAGGGGTGGATCTGCCTCCCCCCGCCCACCTGAGGCTGAAGGAGCTGCTGGAGATCCTGCTGGGAATGGCCTCCCAGCTCGCCTGGCTGCGCGGCTTCCGCCTGGACAAGAAGACGGTGGTGAAGCACGTGGGGGACCTGCTGCAACACCGGGTGTTCCTGCTGAAAAACGCCTTCTGCCAGGAGGGTGGGGAGGAGCAGCAGCGTGGTGCGGCCTCAGGCCAGGGCTCCACAGGCCAGGGATCACCAGGTGAGGGCACCCCAAGCCAGCACTCCCTGGATAAGGACACTCCAGGCCAGGACTCCCTGGAAAAGGGCTCCCCAGGCCAGCACTCCCTGGATAAGGGCTCCTCAGGCCAGGACTCCCTGGATAAGGGCTCCCCAGGCCAGGACTCCCTGGATAAGGGCTCCCCAGGCCAGGATTCCCTGGAAAAGGGCGCCCCAGGCCAGGACTCCCTGGAAAAGGGCGCCCCAGGCCAGGACTCCACAGGCCAGGACTCGCTGGGCCAGGGCTCTCCCAGCTCTCCTCTGGTGGCACAGGAGAAGGGCTGTCCCTTGGCAGGGAAATGCCTGAGGCCTCTGCTCCCACCCTGCCTCATCCATCCCAGGAAGAGGCTGCGTTCGGCAGCTCCGAGCGCTCCCGACCCGGCCGTCACCGGCGACGAGCCCATCTCCGACAGCGAGATCGAGCAGTACCTGCGGAGCCCCGAGGAGATCCGGGCCTTCAGGAAGGCCAAGGCCTGGTCCTGAAGGCAGTTGTGGCTTAGAGGATGGTCCAGAGACAGTTTTGGGACCAAAAGTGTGAAACCTGCCAGGGACAGAGCGGTTGTGCTGCAGGACAGTTGCCTGGGAAATGGGGTTGTGGGGCCTTTGTGTTCTGGACCAAAATGGGGCTTTTTGTAGAGTGACTGCTTTGGGTCGTGTTAACATTTCTGATAGAAATAAATGGAAGTGCAGGTGCCAGGTTTTCCAGGGCAGCCTCACCTTCCACTTCTAATCCTTCAGCAGAATGAGTTTGTGAGGGTCAAAAAAACCCCCAGGGCTGGGCTGTACTGAACATGAAGTCTGAGAGAAATAACAGTGAGTCTTGGCAGATTGGCAAGTCTTTAATATATTAAACAAAACATATCTGCTAGAAACATTCTATTCATATAAAAATGCAAAAAGACCCCTTTAAAGACATTTCTTTGGCATATTTCCCTTCCCTCCCCCCCCTCCCCGGATATTGCAGGAAGCTCTGTTGATATGTCGTTCGCTTGTAAACAGACAAAACAAAGTGTAATTAAGAATACAAAGCTTTTTCTCTAATACTGTCACAGTGCAGCAAAGCGATAGAACCACGGGGCACCAGCCAGGCTGGGGGGGCTGCAGGAGCCACAGCAAGGGTTTAAATTGTGTTAAATACCAGGGACAATGAAATATTTAAGCATCTAAGCCAGGCAGAGAAGCCAAGGTAGGTGGGGAAGCGGCAGGTTAAGCCCAGGGGTGCCCCAGCCCTGCGGGTTGAGGGGTTCTGAGGTGAGACCAAGCCCCACTAAGTGCTTTTTCCTCCCCTGGCTCGTGGCCCCCGCTGGTCCCACGACCCCTCGGAGGTAGCTGTGTAATTAAACTCATTTGCACGCAGGGGAAGCTGAGGCAGGGGAGGCTGGAAAGGGCAGAGGTGGCACCAGACTCCCATCCTGCATTGCTGCAGCCCTCCCTGCTGTTTTACCTGCCTGCTGGGAAAAAGGGGGGGACTTGTTTTTCAATGGAAACAGTAAGTGCTTATCCAGGTTCCAGCCCTTTGACCACATCGTGGGAACTGTCTGAGGAAGGTCCCTAATTCCTTGGCATTGTTATCCTGCATTCCCAGGAATGGTCCCTGCTCCCCAGGAAGGTTTCTCTGCCTTCCTAAGAGCAAAGGTGGGTATTTTCTGGATTAAGGACATGGACCTGCTCTGGGTTTGTCACACATCTTGGTTCTTTGGTGCTTTGGCGCAAAGGGTCAGTCCCAGCTCCACCAGCCCACCCCATTGCATGGCTTGTGCCTCCGAGGGCCTGGGAGCCCTTCCTGGCCGTGACTTTAGTGTCTGGCATTAAAGCAGTGCAGACAATCGAGGTGATCCTCACCTTGGAGCTGAGGCTCCTCTTACCTTGTGCTTGGCTTTGCAGTATGGCTTTGGCACCGCGCAACCGCCGGGGCTGAACGCCGGATAAAACCACTCCAGAGGGAGCAGTTGCTCTCCAGCAGCCGCCTGCTCAGGCTGGGGCTGCGGTATCTGGACGTGAAGGGCACTTGGGGTGGTCCCTCAGCGGGAATATTGCAGTCGTGGCACGAGCGGGCCCTGGCCCAGTGCCCATCCCCTCCCAGGGAACCAGGTGGGGAGCGAGGCCCTCGCGCCACTTACGGCTCTGTCTATACATATATATACATTC